TGTTTGTGGGCGTGGACCGGCAGCCTCCACGAGTACTCGATCTGTTAAAATAAGACCGGTATCGTCCTGATACCAATAGCTGATATCGCTATTCGCTGACTACTATCCATTTTTAACCAAACAAGTTGTCCCAAGTGCATCTAATCTCTTTTCACTCATTATTGGATAACCCCCCTCCCCTAATAAATAAATAAATAAGCATAGAGATTTTCATTCTTGAGGCAACTTAATGCCGCACGTCTCCCATGGAGTGAGACAGAGGTGGCTTCCATCCTCTCCTTTCCATTCTTGCCCGTACGCTGTCCGGCTGATACGTACCATGCACGACAGGCAGCGTGCAGTGACCTGCATGTATGCGGGCGCGTGCTGGGTCACCGGGTGCCGGTTCTGCTTCGAATGCCAACGCGGCCGGCTCGGTAGGACTTTAGAAATGGATCCATTTTTAACCAAACAAGTTGTCCCAAGTGCATCTAATCTCTTTTCACTCATTATTGGATACCCCGCCCCCCCAATAAAAAAATAAAATAAATAAATAAGCATCGAGATTTTCATTCTTGAGGCAACTTAATGCCGCATGTTTCCCGCGGAGTGAGACAGAGGTGGTTTCCATCCTCTCCTTTCCATTCTTGCCCGTACACTGTCCGGCTGATACGTACCGCGCACGACAGGCAGCGTGCGGTGACCTGCATGTATGCGGGCGCGTGCTGGGTCACCGGGTGCCGGTTCTGCTTCGAATGCCAACGCGGCCGGCTCGTTAGCACTTCAGAATGGGAATCCCCCCCACGTGGCCTTGGGCTGTGGGACACATCTGCAAGCGTGCATACATGGGGAGATGAGAACATGTCATGTCATGAAGGTCAACAGTCAATCCTCTCTGATTTTTCGTGTCCTCCATGACAGCCTTTCAAAATAAGACATTTGCGTCTGTTTTCGGAATTAAAATTCAAGCTCATGTTAAACGGAGTTGGCTCATACCTGACACCATATAAATGTCTTTATTTGATCCAAAAATACATATCAGGTGTTCTAGTAGGCTTTTCCTGACATGTCATGCTTTTTCTCCCAGCGGAAGGCTGAAAGATTCATTAATACATCCCAGACCAATTTTGGAATTATGGCCAAAAAGTTCAAAGTTCACGACATTGTTTTCCATTTTCGCGGTACAGGTTGCGGGCCACGTTAAGGGCTCGAGAAGTTTTGAAATGATTCGTGTCGGTCTCGTTGGTATCACCAAAACTTGGCATTTGGAAGGGGTGTGTGGACTTTTTTTATATGCACTGCTTTTGCCTGTATAGTTCTTTCTGCAATGTGTGTCAGCTCTGCACTCTTCTCCGCATCAGTGCCTCCGAACACTGGAACTCCCGCGCCCCCGCGCTGTCCTCGTTTGTCGTCTCATAACACTTTGACATGCAGCTGACTTTCCTGTAAGGGGCCCGCAAGTGCGTTTATGTGAAGGCCCCTCAGGCTTGTGCGCGAGGCGCTTTCTCAAACATCACGTTGGTATCACCAAAACTTGGCATTTGGAAGGGGTGTGTGGACTTTTTTTTATATCCACTGCTTTTGCCTGTATAGTTTTTTTCTGCAATGTGTGTCAGCTCTGCACTCTTCTCCGCATCAGTGCCTCCGAACACTGGAACTCCCGCGCCCCCGCGCTGTCCTCGTTTGTCGTCTCATAACACTTTGACATGCAGCTGACTTTCCTGTAAGGGGCCCGCAAGTGCGTTTATGTGAAGGCCCCTCAGGCTTGTGCGCGAGGCGCTTTCTCAAACATCACAAATTAGGCCTCTGGATGACCCAGAAGAAGTAAATTGGCACAATGAGTGATTTCATCCTTCCATAACAAGGAAGGGGGGTCTTATAAATGAGGATGAATTAGGATGCCGAGATGTTGCTTCAAAGCCGTTTAGGTAGATCGGGGCCCAATTTATTCGACAGCTCAGCTCAGTTGGAGTCGGACGACAAGACGAAGAAATGGCACCACGAAGTGTCGACATTTTGCCGCTAATAAGACGCAGAAGTGAAAAGCGTCGGCACCGATTCAATCCTGGTGTCATTTGTCCAGGATCTTGGCCTATCGGTTCCCCTGCAAGAAAGCCCCAAATAAATAAGACGGCGCTGATCGGCTCCCGGCATCGAAGAAGGAAAAGGACAAGTGAGAATGGAGTTTGCGAGTGAAGTGATGTCAGGGAAGCAGTGGGGAGAGGAGGCTGGCAGGCAGGAATAAATAGGACTCAGCCCGTGAGAGGGCGAGAAAAAAAAAAAAAAAAGAAAACACCATCTGGTCAAGATTATAACCTAGATACTGTGCATATGTGGTGTTTAACACTCCTCTGCTGTCTTCAAGTTGTCATATCACTGTCCTTCAAAAGGAATATGACACGCACAAAATTGCTGCACAACAACAAACAGTGTTTACAAACAATAATAATAATAATAAATGACTTAACAATTTTGTCCTTACCATTTTCACCCCTTGAGGGACAGCGGTTACTCCAGTGGCCATTTTATCATGTGATCAGGTTGCAGGGCGCTTGAAAGGGTTCATTTTAACGGTTATTCTAACACGTGCGTACTTGCAATTGAGGACGCCGAGGGAAAGAAAATGGGAGCCCTTCTATGGGAATTGTGATTATTAATAGGCAGCCTCCAAATGGCTCGCAACCGGTCCAGGGTTTTCCACTTGCCTCTTGTAAAGTCACCTTGAGAACATGGATGGATGGAGCGTGAGTAGGAATTAACTGTCAGCATGCGGTTCATTATACACAATGCATATTGCGGTGGACTATCCCCAAAACATTTGAAAACTTTTGTTGCAATGCAAACTGCATTTATTGACATTGTATGTAAGTACAGCGTGGGTAAAAAGAAACCAGTCATTTAAAAAATTGCGATTTAAATTCATTTTCCTATTGTAATGTTATTGAAATATGTCTGTTTCAAAAATGTATCACAGCTTTATTGAAGACTAAGTTGCCCATAGGTGTGAATGTCAGTCAGAATGGGCGAATGTTCGCGGCTTCACTTCCGTTGCATGTTGATTCAACGCCCTCAAGCGGACATACTGTGAAACTGCATGGCCTGTTAATTTGCCCTCCCTCTTCTTTCTTCCCGCAGAGACGATGGTGTTGTTTCTGATCGGGATCTCTGCAGCCGCGAACATTTCATCTCATGACAACCAAACGGCAGGTAAAAAAAAGAATTCTAACGCGAAATGTGGAAACACGTTTTTTTTTTTTTAAATTTTGATTTTGTCTTGTGCCAAGGGAACCCCACCCACCAGGGTGCTCATGTGCTGCCCTCCACGTTGATCTTGTCCCTTGTGCTCATCTTTGTCGTCCTGCTGACCATTTACTGCCTCAGGTGGGAATTTGCGACTCATCAACACAAAGCAAATTATGAAGAAAATCTGACATATAAAAGCCAAGAGAGTGAAGACGATAAATTAAAAACCTAAAAACAGCGTTGTCTCTCTCACATTTTGGATATTACTCTGGACGTTTAGTGACCTTTTATGATTGATGGCCTATTTTTGCATATTTTATTTACATTACAGTATTTAACTTTATCTCACAGTTGTTTTTTTTTTTCTTTCCTTTTTAAGGTTCAAGAACCACAGGAAAGCGCTGGTTACTTCTGTGGATAAAAAACTTCCAAATGGCTTCCTGGAAGAACAAGGTACTCAATGTAATTACCACCCAATGAAAACATAATGCTTTGTTGCTTTATTATTATATATTTTTTTTAAATATCGATATTTGATTCATGCATTTACATTCTTTATGGCGCGAGAACAATTCCCCGTGTGTAGTCTGAGCTAACTGGGAAGTTTGCGGCGGCCTCTTAGCTTTCCCAGCACGTCGGGAGTCTTATAAACTTTCATTTTAAGTAGGGGGGTGGATATATATAAATAAACGGAAAGGCCACATTTTGAGCCGAGGCAGTTTCACGCGGTTCGAGGCGGCGGGCGCTCTGTTTTACGAGTTGGAGAAATGATTTCTGTCGCCAATCGGCAGGAGTGGGAAATCTTAACGGCCGCCGGGCATGTTGTTACAGGTGCAACGCAGGCTCGTAATGGTGCCTACTGGGAATCGTTAGCCCTCTGACCGCCATGTATGCCTTTTGAAACACAGGAGAGCAAAGAGTGGTCCTCCTGCCCAGATCCCCCTCGCTCTCCAAGAGGTACTTCCCCATCCCGCTGGACGCGCTGGAGGAGGAGTACCGCGCGCGCTCGGCCGACGACGGCAAGCTCTTCCGAGAGGAGTTCAATGTAAGTCGATCTGCGCAAACGCACCGGACGCTCGCCCTTTGTCCTCTTGGCTGTTTGCCCAACTCCTGAAAATCGCACTAAAAATTTACAAGGTCCAGCGTTGTTCTGTATCCCCCCCGCCCCTCTCATGAGGTTTTCTTGTTATAGTCGCTGCCCTGTTACTACCGCCACGGGTCCTTTGAGGAGGCCAGCAAGGAGCACAACAGAGACAAAAACAGATACCCCAACATTTTGCCATGTGAGTGAGCCCCCCCCTCCACCGCCCCCCACCCTGAAGACAATACTGACTTTATTGACATTGGCTCTCTCTCGCTTGCAGATGACCATTCCAGAGTGCTATTGAGCAGTCACATGGGTCACGCGTGTTCAGACTACATCAACGCCTCTTACATAGATGTGAGTCATAATTGCCTCATCGCTTTGGAAAGGCATGTTATGGCTCCGGGCGGATGCCTGTTAATAGTCTGCTCTTTTGCGCAGGGGTTTAAGCAAAAGAAGAAATTTATTGCTGCTCAAGGTAAATAAAAATGCAACGTAGTTTCAGTGGACAGGTACTGTTTTAGGCTTTACCTGATCGGGATTTTGGAGCGGATCAGCGAGTTAAAAAACAACAACAACAACAAAATGTAACCGATCAGAACAGAAGATGCCCAATTGATTTCAACAACTTGTTGATTGACTGTACATTGTACCCCGCTATTGGAACTAGCCTGGCCCGCAAACAGGCACAATTCACATGTAATTGACACCCACATTGGAGAAAAAATAATAACAATAAAAATCCTAAAAATTATCCCAATATGCTGATAGACACTTCACCAAAAAAACAAAATAATTTTAAAATACTGAGGAAAAGTTGAAAAAAAATATCCAAACATATTTCCTGAGAAAACTTGAATTATTGAACAATCATCAAGTTATGACATTAGAGCCGATCGGCGATTTTACATAAAATGCTAAATATCTGCCAATTTGATCCAGCCGGTCATCAGGAGGTTTCTTCCCGACGGCAGCGATGTGCTGCTAAACAGCTGCGTGTTCATTATTTCTCGCAACCATGACAGTAAAATTGTATTGTGGTCTACATACGGCAGATCGAAACTACTATGCTAACAGTTCTGGCTGAAGTTTGACATTAGTTTAGGTCTGTTGCCTCTTCTTTTTTTTTTTTTTAGTTGTCAAAAAACCCTTTTGATTTGATGACCAAACCGATGTTATGAGATCGTTGAGGTAAAAGTTTGGTTGCCGTGTAACCTCTGGCACCCTCTAGTGGTCATCCCACGTCAACAACACCATTGATGATTCATTGCACTGATTGCTGACGGTCATTTTTTTTCTTTTTTTGTCAAATGTACCCTACGTTTTCTACTCCTTTGATTTATTATCATATTAATCAATTATTATCATATTCCATGTATAAACCCGTTATTCCAAATATATTTTTTATGCTTCAGGTCCAAAATTGGAGACGGTGGCCGACTTCTGGCGGATGATTTGGGAGCAGAAGACGGCAACCATAGTGATGCTGACCAATCTGAAAGAAAGGAAAGAGGTCGAAAAACGAACCTTTATTACCTACAATAATTGCTGCCAAACTTTATACACCAAGTACCACCTTGAAAAAAAACAACAAAACAATGAGCTCCCCCAAGTGCATTAAAACGCAGCAGTGCTCTCTTCCTCCAAAATGAAACGGTCGTGGTTTTGCGTACCACCTTTTGAGAATGGCTAATCGACAGTATGCAGCTAGACCGCACAAACGCTTTCCCGTCTGCTCTTGCCCTGACCCGAAGTCACCAACTTGTAATTTCTTTGACCCCCGTCCCTCAGATGACTAATCACATTGTCATCCAGCAGATGATTTTTGCATGAGCTGAGCCTCAAAGGGCCGATCAACCGGGAGCTCGGCAGCAGGTTTGATACAGCACAAGAAGGAGAAGAAGCGTTTGGGAATCAATGATGCAATAATTGTTGATAAGACCCTGAGAGGCTTCATGATAATTAGTCGGAGAGGCTCGCAAATGGGTTGAAGCTTGGCTTGTGCGCTCATCGTATTGACTGACACGGACGCGCAAAGTCAAGTGCCTTTGAACCAATAGCCGGCTGATTTAATCGACCCGTATTCGCCCTTTTCAAATCAGCTGATAATTGGTGATCGGAATTTTATTCTGCCAAATATCCAAATGGTCACCGGCCTTAAAATATACATATTAGTCAGGCCTGATACAAAAATCCCTATTTTTCTGAAATATTGTTCACAAATTCACCTTTGCCGAGATAATTAATCCGCCTCCCAGCTGTTGCATATCAATAAAAGTACACATTTTGGGGTGGGAGCCGAAGGCACACCTGTGCGGTACTCATGCTGTCTAATCAGCATCTCGATATGCCACCCCCGTAAACTGGATGGATTATCTCGACGAAAGAGTGCTCACCCATAAAATTCAGACCCACTGGTGAATAATATTTGAGAGAAATAGAAAATAGGAGATAAAATTGTTGTGTTTATAGTTTCGCTCAGTATATATTCATATATGCAAGGCAAGGCAGCTTTATATGGTGTGTTTCCTCCACAAGATAACTCAATGTGCTTCACATAATTAAAAGTACAACATTTAAAGACACTATTTCATACATACATTTTTTTAAAAAATTTAATTGTAGATTGCAATTCATCTAAACTGTATTCATAATTATCGTGTTATCAGGACAAATGCTTCCAGTATTGGCCAGAAAAGGGCTGCTGGATGTACGGCAACATCAGGGTGGCCATGGAGGACGTCACCGTTCTGGTGGACTACACCGTTAGAAAATTCTGCCTTCAGTATGTAAGTCAAAAAATCCACACATTCACATATCATTTCTTTTCAATAAACCCGTGTGAAAAAAAAAAAAGAAATCCTGTTGGTTTATTAAAAAATGTGCCATGTATGGATTTCCAGAGCACACGAGTAAAATTTAATTACACTGCAGCAGGCCTTCCCAGCAATCTTTTTAAGGGAGCATTGTCTCTAATTAGGCACACCGTAAAAATTGTTTAATATTTCAGCCAACCGTAGTTATCAAATGACATTAAAAATACATCATTTTAATCGCAAATCTCTTATTAAAAATTAAGTATCTAATAAAGCTGCATGGAGAAGACGTAAAAAGTAATGCTCCCTGAAGGGGCTTTCAAACAGTTTAGTCTGCGGTAAAAGGAGAGAAAATAGAATAAATAAGGAGAAACGGCGGCTGGAAAACAATCGAGGATATTAAAAGGGGTCGTACGCGTGATTAAAAACCAAATAATATCCATATACTAATGTGTTCAATGTACTCACAGAGTCAACATGCCGTGTGTTGCGGGGCTTCTTCCTCGCAGCGGTCGTTTTGCCGCAAAGCCTTTTTCACTTTGGCAAAGCTGAGTCGCGAGGCTTTTATTTCGCCTCCGTTTGATAGCGGACATCCTCTCCCCCCCGCATCTCAACTTTTCACACCCTCTCTGACTTTGTAACCTTTTTGGGGGGATGAAGCCAAATTGTTGCGTTTGTAGTTGTGCTCAGTATATATTCATATAGGCAAGGCGAGGCGGCTTTATATAGCCCATTTCATCCACGAGATAACTCAATGTGCTTCACATCATTAAAAGTACCACCTTTCAACACGCTATTATTTAAGGACACCCGCAGCTAAACTTTACACAGCCGCTCTGACTTTGTGAACGGTGTGAACGAGATGACACGCTCACCACGGACGAGTCAAACAAACAACCTTTGGAGAGATTAAGCCAAAAGGAAATGTATGCTAATAAATATATGGAAACATTTTGCTCCCAAGAAGACTATAATACTTCCTAATTTGCATTATTATTATTATTATTGTTATTATTATTATTATTATTATTATTTATTTAGGGTTTTTTTTGTGTGTGTCAATTGTATTCCAATTTCAACGAGGAAACGTGAGTGCGGAACAAAGAGCCACTCACCCAAGTCGTCTGCCCGCCCGTAATCGGCGCGCGTGCATGCGAGCGCTCGCGCTAGCGCGCTCACAGTGAACATTACTCACGTGCAGGCATTAACTGGGCCCGTCTGTTCTTCACAGCAGGACAGTGATGGACCCCGGGCCCCGTGCCTGGTCACTCAGCTCCATTTTACCAGCTGGCCAGACTTCGGGGTGCCGTTCTCGCCCATAGGCATGCTGAAATTCCTCAAGAAGGTCAAGGCTGTCAACCCGCCCTACGCCGGACCCATTGTGGTGCACTGCAGGTAAGAAGAACACAATTAGGACTTTTTTTTGTTTTTTTTTCACGCTCTCCCTCTCTTGCATCATCTGTTTTTGCAAAAGTTATTAAAGAGTGGCAGATTGTTGTAATTATGAACCCCAGTTAACACAACGCCAAAAAAAAAAAAAAACGTGAGCATTGGAGTCCTTGAGGGACAATATAGGCTGTTTAATTATACCGTAACGAGGACATTTTTCCTGCCGGGTAGGTGCATACGTGCACCTTTGTTTGACTGGTCAAGCCGACTGCCGCAACAGGTGCTCACGGTTGTTTTTCCAACGCTCCTCTGCTGAAATGAGCCTTGTAAATTTCTTGCTGGGGTTTGCTTTATACATACACGTGGTCATTCGCGGCTCATTTTTGTCGGTGCAATAATAGGCATTATATGGGGAAAAAAATAGTTCGGTGCCTGGATTTTGCGCCTTTGACAGGAAATGGAAGCAAAAAGGGAGCTTGAACAGCTTCTACTTGTTTGGCAAGAGAGTTCGGGCCACACTTGTGACCGTTTTTTTGCGTGCGTGCAATGCAAAACGGGAGAATACTTGTAAGTACTGTTTGTACTTTTTTTTGTATGTCAAAAAAAAAATTGCAGTTGGTGACCATTCGCCGCAACAAAAAAGCTGCGACCCTGTATCAGATTTGGACGCTATTTTTGTATTTTATTAATATTTATCCAGAGCGAGAGAACCCACTTAATTCCTGGGAGAACATTTGTAAAGCCGAATTCAAACCTTTGAACCCCTAGGAAAAAAAAAAAAGAAGCCTTTTATTTATTTACAAATTCTTTCTTGTCCCATATGCCACCTCTTTACAAATATTTTCCCGATTTTTTTTTTTTTTTTTTAATATATTCCTTGATTGTTTTACTTGGCCAAAATATTTTGAAAAAAGGGGAAACCATCAATAAGAAATCTTTTGGTGGCTCAAGACCTTTTGCACAGTACTGTGTGTGTTGTTGTTCTTGCGGGAAGTGATGTTCTGTCCACCCATCTTACAAGTTGTCTGACAAGTGTTGTCTTCTCCTCTGTGTGTGTGTGTGTGTGTGTGTGTGTGTGTGTGTGTGTGTGTGTGTGTGTGTGTGCGTGCGTGTGCGCGTGTGTGTGCGTGTGCATGTAGTGCGGGCGTGGGGAGGACAGGCACCTTCATTGTCATTGACAGCATGATCGACATGATGCACACGGAGCAGAGGGTGGACGTCTTTGGCTTTGTGAGCAGAATACGAGAGCAGCGCTGTCAACTCATCCAGACCGATGTAAGCGTTGACCCCTGCTGACCCGCCGTGCCTGCCCACTGACAGTTGCCGTTGCGGTGCAAGGCAAAAAAACAAACAAACAAAAAAAAAAAGACAGCAAAACAAACTGTCAGTGATACGAGAAGAGGAAGGAGGCGAGGGGAAAAAAATGGTGGTCCTGACTTCCTTTGTGCTGGTCCACAGATGCAGTACTCCTTCATCTATCAGGCCCTGTTGGAGTACTACCTGTACGGGGACACCGAGCTAGACGTGTGCTCTCTGGAGGGGCATCTGCACGGGCTTCATAACACCAGGGCCCCCCACGACAGACTGGGCCTGGAGGAGGAGTTCCGGGTATGCCGAGAGAAAGAGAGAGAGAGGATGAAACATTTTCAGTAATGAATCGTCCCAACATGCCGGTATTTTCCTGGAGATCTGGCCCAGGGTGGCGCTCTGAGCGGTGGCGACATTAAAAAACAACGCTTTATAAGGGGCCTCCATCTGTCACGCAGAATTAACGGGAGCCGGGTGGGAAGTTTTCATGTTTTACTCATAGCCGTTCCACCCCCCCACCCCACCCCGCTCAACACCTCTCTGCTGATTAGAACTTTGTTGTTGCGGTTGTTTACTCGAGGCAGTAAATGTTTTAGCACTTTGGAAATACACTCTGGGGTCAAAACATTAGGTATGCCCCAGCGATAATACCAAAAAAAAAAAAAAAAAAAAAAAAAAACCATGAACGGTATTTAAACCGTGATGGATTGCTTTAATAAACACAAATATGTAACAGAAGATCTTTAGACGGGAGCGGGAGAAGTTCAAGTTTGAAAATAAAAGATGACCTTCTTCAGAACAGTTTACGTGGTGCAAAGGAGTTGGAAGAAGCGAAAAAAAAAAAAGCAAAAACATTCGAAAAAGACTGCTGAAGCAAAGAAATGAAATAAAAATTTCGAGTGTACATGTAAAATTATTATTATTATTATTATTTTTTTTATAATTTAGCACTCGGGGTACACGGAAAATCACTGCTGGAGTTCAGCTCAGTTATATTTCACATTTTTCATTGAATGTCTTAAGCACAGTTTTATTTTTGAACATTAAAGTCGAATTGTTATTCAACTTTTAAGTGCAATGCATTTCAACTGAGTCATTATTTAAGTACAGTTTAGTAATTCTTTGCATCTTATCAATATTCCCGCATGTTCCCCCCCCCCCCCCCCCCCCCCCCCCCCCAAAAAAGTTGGAAGGACATTGTTTGCATTTTTAATGCAGTTTGTTTTTCAGTGATTAGTTATCTATATTACACAGATTAAAAAACACTTCTTTTTTTTTTAATCGAAATTTATGATTCATAAAGGCAGCACGAATAGACGAGCGGTGAACATGTCTGCCTCATGATTGAGAGCTCCAGTACGGCTTCATTGTTTGCATTTTTAATGTCAGTTTGTTTTTCAGTGATTAGTATCTATATTACACAGATTAAAAAACACTTTTTTTTTTTTTTAATTGATATTTATGATTCATGAAGACAGCACGAATGGACGAGCGGTGAACATGTCTGCCTCATGATTGAGAGGTCCTGCATTCAAATCTCCGCTCGGGGGCCTCCTCTTTTGGAATTGGCATGTGACATTCAAGGTCCTCCAAAAACATGCCTGTTAGGTTTCACCCTTTCATGCACCCCCGTAACCCGATAACACGATAAACTGTCCACCGTAGTGACCGCTGTTCCCGAAAGGGTTAATATAGACCATTAAACAGAATTGAGTACAAGTGAAAAAATGAACGAATGGGTCAACAGACTTTTATGACGGTTACATCACATGGAGTCTCTTCTGTATGAGCTGTAAAATACATCTTGAGAGTTCTCGTGCTGTTTTGGACCCAAGTGACACTTTTCCTCTTCTTCCTACTTTTATTGGCTTGAAAAAGTTCTTTGTTTTTTTTTTTTTTGGTGTTCCTGGCACAGATGATTTCAACCGAGTCATACTTTCAGTGAAACGAGGGCAGGAGTTCACCGACTACATCAATGCCTCTTTTATTGACGTAAGCAACCCCCGCCGCGCCGCCGCCGCCGCGACCTCCTCTATAGATTTTCCCATAGAAGTATAAATATAAAGCTCATCGGCTCCTTCTGAAACGATGCAAAACATCGTTCCCCGAGTGTTGTGTTGTGCCCTGCAGGGCTACAGGCAGAAGGACTATTTCATCGCAACCCAGGCCCCCCTGTCTCACACGGCGGAAGACTTCTGGAGGATGGTGTGGGAGTGGAGGTGCCACTCGATCGTTATGCTCACTGAACTAAAGGAGAGGGAGCAGGTGCAGCACGCCGCATGACTTTTCCTACCTTTTATTTGTTTATTTTTTTTACATGTTTCCCTCCTTTTTGTGATTTGTTTCTCTTTTTTGTTGTTTTGTTTCTTCCCCCTACCGGTCGTCTCTCGTGTTGAAAAGTAGATACATATCAATCCTTTCCCAACAGGAAAAGTGTTTCCAGTATTGGCCATCAGAGGGCAGTGTGACATTTGGAGACTACACCGTGGAGCTGAGCGGAGACTCGCAGGGCGAAACCTTCACTCTCAAAGACTTGGTGCTCACCCGCACAGCAGTACGTAGTACAAACGACAACCACGGGAGCAAACTTTTTGTTGATGGGCTTGATATTTCATCTATCTCTCGTGAAGGCAGATTGATATATATATTTTTTTAATACAGGGGTACTTCTACTGACTCACGTCTCTTCATACGAAATTTTCAAGTTACAAAACGCGTCAGTAGGAAAATATTGACTCTTGTTACAAAAGAAATTTCAAGATACGAAAGGTAAAAAATACAGCATGGGCTGCTACTCGCAGCTCCGAGTTTCGTGAACGCAACATATTTACAACATACGGTCGCTCACTTTGCATTGTCGAAGGGTTGTTAAAAGCTGACAAAAGCAAACGTCCTTGGATCAGTTCTTTACAAAACGCAAGGCAAAAAAACATGAACATGAACTTAAGAGGGCAAAAAAAGATAAGGACGCAGTTTAAAGTTAAATGACCATCATTTTTTATTCGTTACTCTATTCTTTGTTTTTTTTACATGATGCACAACTCTCATTTATTGTGCAATATTGTCATTGTAACATTTATTTGTTACATTTGTTACATTTTTATGCTTCATAAAACATTTATGTCTGAATTTTGGGGGGCCTTGGAACAGATTAAGGCATTAACATGGAAAATGCGTCTCTACTTACAAAGTTTTCTAGTTCAGAAATTTCTTCCAGAACCATTTAATTTCGTAATTAGAGGTATCACTGCAGTACGTATTTGTGGCAATACCATTTTGTCCGCTTACTTATTGCTAACAACGAACGCTGCGTAGGCAACGGCTAACCATTCGCATCTAGGAAATGGTGTTATAACCCTTGAAGCCACAGATGTTCGAACAAACGAGCAGCAAATCTAATATTCTACCCAAGTACGCTAGCAATTCTTTAGCTTCGTTTTCAAACCGCACAATTGTGCAATCACGCCTCCTCTGCGTCCCCGCCAGGAGAAGCAGTCTCAACACGTGCGTCATTTCCACTTCCACGGATGGCCCGAGATCGGAATACCGACGGAGGGCCGGGGGATGATTGACATCATCGCCTCGGTGCAGAGGCAGCAGCAGCAGTCTGGAAACCGTCCCATCGTGGTGCACTGCAGGTGAGACCGCTCGCGATTTGCTGCCGACGAGCGTTTTTTTTTTTTTTTTTTGTAAGTTGGAGTTGTGGGTGATATCGGAAGGCCTTTTCCTTTTTAAATGACACATTTTTCCTTTCTAGAACGTCTGTTCTCAGAAAGTCCCCGTGTTGCCTCAGCGGCTGTTCTTACGCCTAAACCACTTATGTGATCCTTTATAAAGACTTCTCAGCGGATGCTTTGATCAGAACCTAGCTTCAGGTGAAGTGATTCGAAAGCGGCGACGGCCCGGTGGGATCGATCCAATCCACCCATTCGCAGTCAATTAAAACCTCTCAAAGTGAAATATCCTCCGACTCCCCACTATGATTAATCTGATAAGATGAGCTAACGACAGGAAATGGTGTCATCACTCCGCGCTTTGCCTTCATCACCGCTTGTCTAAAAGGGGCTTTTTAAAGCCGTTCCCCCCCCCCACCCCGCCCCCCTTTTCTGCCGCCTCCCGGGAGCGAGGCTAACCCTGGGCGATCCCCCGGCGTCTCGCCGCACTCGTCCAAATTGCACATCACTCCGGCGCTCGCTCCCTCGCCATCCCGCCATCACGAGTAAACATCAGCTCAGTCAAACACTCAGCTTCCACGCTGATTAGTGTTAGCGTTCGGCTTAGCCTCTCCTTAAGTGGGGGTTGTGGGGGGATTATTAGCACCATTAGCCCACGCAGAGGTCACCTTTCCTCTCGCCGACCGATGCATTCAAATGGATGAAAGGCATACATGCTCAAGGGTAAGTCGCCCGTATTTGGTAACTTAAGTGGGTGCTTAAAATGGACCCCGCAACACCTCACTACGATCCAACAAATCGGCGCAAAAAGCCACAGAGGGTCTTCGGTTCTTGACTGGCATACGACGTTTCAAGGTTACTTTCGACACGAGAGTCGACAGCTCGTTTCTCTCGTCTCAAGTTTCAGCGCATTTGCCAGGAGGTTTCGTGTTGAACTTGCAGTGAGCGGTATGAGAGCGATAACACACAAATTGAACACACCCGCTCCTCGTTCGCACCTTCGACACTGTAACTCGAATGAGTCGCATGACACTGAGGAGAAAAAAAAAATGGAAAAGTGGGCCCAGCTTGAACATTTTCACTTGGAGGGCAGAGGTGTGCTCACTTTTGTTGCCAGCTGTTTCGATGCTAATGACTGTGTGTTGAGTCATTTTGAGGGGATGACAAAATAAGTCAAACTAAAATTAAAAAAAAAAAAAAAAAAGTGTGTAACAGAAGAAATTGCTGTGTGCGGATGGAGAAGACAAGGTTGAAGGGAAAACTTTTTTTTGGGGGGCGCGGCGTGGTTACGCTTGACGATAACCACTCATTGTCTCAGTCAAGAGGTTGTTCGTTGTCTGGGAATAATGAGCAAGTTTTATTCTGAAAATCCACCGACGCTTCGGTCAAAACGCAACATCCCAGAGGGAACAAAAGTAAGCCCAAAAATGAGTAAATAAAACAAAAAAAACAACCCCCATGTTTGGACAGCTTCAAAAAGGAGAACACGCCCAAAAAACTGAAAGAGGAGAAGAGCTGACAAATTTCAAGCAAAAGAAGGAACTTTTTTTACAGACGATATCGACAATCCGACGCGCACGAGCCTGCTGTGCAGAAGGATGTGGTGGCCGGTTCACAAATGAGGCAATGAAGCCATCAAAATTACGTTGGCACATGGAACCCAAGCACCCTGCATTAAAAGACAAGCCTTTGGAGTTTTTTGGTTTTTTTTTTTAAAGGAAAAAAAAAAAGAGATTAGTCCAATGGGACCGGCTCGTTGAAGAGAAACAAGCGCATGGCTTCCCACTAATTACGACAGCTACGTTCAGCGGAACGGGCACTTCTGTATTTAACAGGCGGCGTGCATCTCTCTAATAAAAAAGACGATTTGTTACAATCTCGATATGCGGGGCGCGATACAATTCGAAACGGCACATTTTAAAGTGGAACCGATTGAAAACATTTTCATCTTTTTTTTTTTTTTTTTGACTGCTTTGTGTTATTTTGCGACTGATACACCCCTAACATTTAATTTTTTTAAATTGATGTATTTATGATTATTTTTGATTTGTTTCTGTGCTGGTCCATCAAAATGTCTTTATGTGAATCTGGTCTTGGTCCCCGCCCCCACAAAAAAAAAAAAGGTTGGGGACCAGCGGACTGCAACTTTGCTTGCAGTTTATTTACTTAAAAAAAAAAAAAAGTGGAATTTTGGCCAGCATGCATTTCTCACATCTACTTAGTACAACGACATTCAATGGCACATCAAAATTTTGGGGTGTTGAAAGTGGGAACCGGCCGGTGATATTGAGACGGCATCCCGTCTTGGTCTTTCAGTGCCGGTGCCGGTCGGACGGGGACCTTCATCGCCCTCAGCAACATTCTGGAGCGCGTGAAGGCGGAGGGCCTGCTTGACGTCTTCCAGACCGTCAAGAGTTTACGCATGCAGCGGCCGCATATGGTGCAGACCGTGGTAATGTTTGCAAATGAGACACAAAAACAAGTCAACTCGCTTGTGGGGTTTTTTTTTTTACATCGCGCCGTGTTTATCGCGTGGCGTCTGAATGCGGGTTTTGTTTTTTTTATTTTTAATTTGTGGTTTGTTTTCCAGGAGCAATACGACTTCTGCTACCGAGTGGTGCAGGATTTTGTCGACATCTTCTCGGACTACGCCAACTTTAAATAAGGCACACTTTCCACTGTCTGCTTTCCAATCAACTTATGCAAGCGACTTTCTTTTATTTATTTATTTTTTGGGTTTGTCGAATGTACATTTTCTAAAGTTTTACATTTTGTATCATACTGTAATATGCGCAAACATATCTGTCCTTTTGCGCCAGTCTTTTTAGGATGACATTTGACTTGAAAAGACTTGCTTCGTACATTAAAATAGGTCGAGTAACATGATGTAAATACGGTGGTGCCTTGAGATAGCGGTGAAAATAGAAAGTACGCATTGTAGTACATTGAAGTACACAAACGGGCGCGCGGCGTTGCCGTGCAGTCTGCTAGCTTCATGCGAACGCGCAATGGAAAAAGCCATAGCCAGGCTAGCAAATAGCATCTTAGGTGGCAGTGTTCACACTTTAAGGAACTGATATTAAGATACCGATAGTGCAACAACGCTTACGGATGGACAAAATAACATCACTCACAGACATATATTCTTTATGCTCTGCGAGACGCCACGCATTACTGCTGTTTACGGAGTCGCGGTCGTGGCGACATGCTTCTTTGTTTGTGTTAGGATTTTAATTAAGGTGGGCTAGTACCCTTTCCGGATATTTTTTTTTTTTCCAAGGTTTCGGGTTGTCGCAAAGGATGCCGATACCAGCCACCAGTACCTAAGACAAAAAAACAAATCAGACGTAGATTAAGTCTTTCTTGCCAATAGTTGTTGCTAAACTGTGGATGTCGGACACCTGGGCCATGAATTATCCATCCTTGTGTTCATTGAAATTTGTGGTATCTTAAGGACTAGTGGTATCAGTACTTGGTATCGGTATTGGTGGGTCTTCAAGAGTGAATACATGTATTGGTGTATAGGTCTGTAACAAACAAACAAAAAAGTGGAATTAAACATCCTTGGTTATTATGTTTATATGAATTACGAGATTCTCGAGTGCTCTTTTCCTGACTGACGGCGTTTTAACCTTTGAGGGACAGCGGTCACTACAGTGGACAGATGACCCTGTTTTCGGGTTACAGGGTGCATGAAAGGGTTGCGTTAAGAGCGTGGTCACTTGAAAAAAAATTTGGCATTTGGATCTCAAGACGCCTCTGAAACTGCGCCGCTCTCGGAAAAGCATTCTCAACTCTTTCTGCTTGACTCTTTCTGAGCCACAATGCCTTTCTTTTCTTTACACGCATATGTGTACTTTCTCTTTGCAACAAATAAGGTTCAAATGTGTTTATGGGCTCTGATTTAAAAAAAAAATAAAATAAAAGAATTCAGGACCTTTTTTTCCTCCAACGATGCAACCAGCGTTCAATTCTGTCGCTAAAAGTCTTCACTCGGTCTCGTATGAATAAGTGAGCAGCCGCTGTCTGTTGTCGTTTGAGTCGACGTGGCCAACTTGCGTCTCTTGCCCGTGGCCATGTTACTTAGCGCTCGCGTGCCTGACACTGCAAAAATGCCATTAAGCCGTCTTGAAAATACTGTCTAATCACTCCCCGAAAAACATGTCATTCGGACATGTTTTTTCTTTCCTGTCAAGGATCATATTCCGCTTTTTTTTTTCTTCTTCTTCTTGACACGCTTGCCATTTCTCCGCCATGCATGTTTGATTAGAGGCGCCGAACCACCCCCCGCCCCCCCCACCCGCTTCTAATCGTGAAATATTTGTCACCGGGTGACACTTTGTTTAGTTTTTAATGACAACCCGAAGACATTTTGAACTTTTACGGCGTCTTAACCAACAATTTTATAGCTAAGCGACCGCGTGTGCGCTCTTTTCGGTGAATAATTGAGCAACCATGATGACGGATGCGCTCGATAACGGACAAACAAGAGTTTCGCTCCTAGGAAAGATCTTAACTGCGCTTTTATCGCCGAGTAGTTTAGTTGTACACTGAACAAGAACGGGAATGCGACGCTTTTTGTCCACTTTTTCGTTGGATACAAATTGCTCTTCAACATGCTCACTCATCTGTCGAAATCTTAGTGGAGCGCTTCTCCATTGCCGGCATCATCCATCAACCACGCAGGTGTGGCTTATCAATATGCGGATTTAGACGGTGTTATCGGGGAAAAAAAATATTCTGATAGGTCAGGGATGGGCAACTTAATATGATTTTACATCAGTGCTAGTTTGGGGTGAGGTGGGAGGGGGGTATGACAAAAAATGCTATTTAACCCTTTGCCAGAGATTTTACCCAGACAAATTTAAACAAAAAACTCGACTCAAGGGGCGCTCCGGTGGTCCAGTGGTTAGCCCGTCGACTTCACAGTACAGAGGTACCGGGTTCGATCCCGGCTCCGGCCTTCCTGTGTGGAGTTTGCATGTTCTCCTTGGGCCTGCGTGGGTTTTCTCCGGGTACTCCGGTTTCCTCCCACATTCCAAAAACATGCATGGCAGGCTAATTGAACACTTGAAATAGTCCCTAATTGTGAGTGTGAGCGCGGATGGTGGTTTGTCTCTGCGTGCCCTGCGATGGGCTGGCAAGCGGTTCAGGGTGTCCCCCGCCTACTGCCCAAAGACGGCTGGGATAGGCTCCAGCCTCCCGCGACCCGTGTGAGGATGAAGCGGATCGGAAAATGGATGGATGGATGGACTCGACTCAGAGAAGATTGTCTTTCAATCGACGGAAACACGGTTCCTCAGAGCAACCAATAGCAATTGCTCCCTCCACCCGACACCTTGCGTACAGACATTTGAGGGCGCTGAATTACATACAAGACGTCTCGACAGGCCCGAAATTGTGTTGGTTGATTTCTCTATCACCCTTTCATGCACCCTGTAACCTGCTAACGTGATAAAACTGTCCACTGTAGTATCCGTTGTCCAAGAAAGGACTATATTGCATGTATGCAAACACATTTCTCAATCTGTAAAGATCCCCTATCTGAGCCCAACAACACAAGGTCTGAAGCAAACATAAAAAATAAGCATAACGCGATATCTGTGATGCAATTTAATGATCTCGGCAAAGGAGAAGCGCTCACTCACGCACGTTTGAGAGAATCGTTTTGATTTAGCATATATTTGTATGATCAAACAGGGAATACTCAGCCTTTCTGGAAAAAAAAATTAAAAGTCTATTTTTGCAAGGGCAAGACTCCTTTAACGTTTAACGCTCGGAAGAACTTTGTATTGTTGCATTTCTAAGCTAAGTCATTTTGCGTATTGTGGTCGTCACCAAGCTTTACCCGAGTGCTTACGATTTGAGGCCTTGTAAACTGTGACCAAAAAAAAAAAAAAATTATAATTTGGTTTCCGTGGAACATTTCTGCGTGCAAACTTGATTCTACTAAATAATACACGGGCGAGAAATGTCCGCGCCGTTTGTCTTGCTCCCCAAAAGGTGCACACGCACCCAAGTGTGTTGCAGATCTCACGCCGCTTAAATCCTCATGGCGACGACGCTCTGGACCACTTAGGCGCCTCCATTAGCGACATCGGGTGCACCATTAGCGCGTCGATGTGTCACACCTGCAGAGATGGGATTATAATCCTCGCACCTACAAAAGCCCCTGAAAAATAGGCTTTCCTGACACGCCGCATGCTAACGAGGCCAATAGAGGAAGGTGAGTGGCTCTCGGCGCGCTCCGGACGGCGCTCGCCGCCGACGATGTGACCACGTTGACTCTTTTCGTGCAGAAACCCGCGTAGCTGAGATGGAGGCCGGTTGCAAAGCGGTGGTGCGCGTGTTGCTGTTGGCCTTGCTTGCGCAGGCGGCCTCGGGGCAACACTGGTCGTACGGGTGGCTGCCGGGCGGCAAGAGAAGTGTGGGCGAGTTGGAGGCCACCATCAGGGTGAGTTTTCTCTTCCGGTTTGAAGAAAAAGAGGATTTGGAAGCAAACGCAATTGGCTAAGATTTGAAATTGTTTGCACATTCCTGCTATTTTTGTTTTTAACAATTTATTGGTCTGCGCGCGCGCGTGTGTGTGTGTGTGTGTGTGTGTGTGTGTGTGTGTGTGTGTGTGCCGGTTTGAAGAAAAAGAGGATTTGGAAGCAAACGCAATTGGCTAAGATTTGAAATTGTTTGCACAGTCCTGCTATTTTTGTTTTTAACAACGATTTCTTGGTCTGTGTGTGTGTGCGTGTGTGCGTGTGTGTGTGTGTGTGTGTGTGTGTGTGTGTGTGTGTGTGTGTGTGTGTGTGTGTGTGTGCGTGTGTGTGTTTG